GTGCTTATGTACTTGCTGCTTGTATTCATTTTCACATCACTATAGCATCCTTAATTTGGAATTTACACATTGGTAAAAAAGATTCTGCCAAAATGTTTTTTCTAATTTCCTTAAAAGCGATTTCTTTAAAACAATTATTTTTAGCTAGTATTATTGGTAATTTTACAAAAATTAGCATTATTATAATTTTGATCTGATTTTACGAAAAATCTGACAACAAAAAATCCGATTTTAGGTTTAAAAATAATAGTGTAATTCTAGTTTTTCGAAACTAGAAAACACTATGTTATTGCTAAGATTTTTTTTATTAATTTAAAAACGCCTATCGATAAACAAACGTCCAATTAAGAAATTTTTCTGTGTACTGTATAGATATACAGGTATTCAAAAATACTTGGTTTCGACATAAAAATAATATATGACTACTTACAGATATTTTATGAATATAAATCATCGAAATGAATGACACTTGTATGGTCTCAATGATTTTACAATGTGCTGCCTAAAATACTGATTTTTTTTTTATTTAATTACTACGATAGCAACAATATACATAGACGTATGGCGGGATTGGTTGAAATGTCAAGCATTTGGTAGGGAAACTGTGTGCCATAGATTCGCTTCTGTGTTTAAAGATTGTACTCTATTTGATTATCAGATCCACTGCTCTTTTGGTACTGTGAAAAATGTTTACTTCATATATGATGAATCCTCATCGTAATCATCTTTCCTAGTAACTTGGCGGTCCTCAGTGTGCGCTGGCATTATATAATAAATCGTTATATATCACATCGTATTCATTAATGGAAAACTGTAACCTTCTCATAAACTAGCTGTATGGTCTGTGTTATTCTCTCCATATTTGTTCTCTCTTGGTTTCCCAATGTATTCCATGTATGTTCTCCCTTGCATCGTTGCTTTTTCTCCCTCTTGGAGGCCTGGCATTCATGTTTGCTCTTCCCCTCTTCCATGTGGAAGTTCTCCATGATTTTTATATCCAAGGAATTAGAGCACTTTCCCTTCCTTGGAGTGGAGCTGAAATTTTCCCAGTCCCCAAGTGTTGTACGAGTCCTTCGAGTTTAACATTTTTACAGAATATAGGGACTGTTGGTTTTTCTTACATTTCTTCTCAGTTCTGGGGAGTGGGTGCTGTCTACTTATTGTTTATAAACACACCAGCCATCTCTCTCCGTGGCAGTGGTATGACCAGAAAAGAAGGAAGAAAACTTTCACCATCATTCTGCTGTCACGGTCTTTTTTTTATTATTTTTTAATCAAGAGACAGTAATAAACCCAGGGGTCATACAGTTACTCTCATTAACAATGTCCATTGGTCCAACTTTTGGGATTGCTGGCATCTGTGAGGGTTTGTGGTGCTAGTGCTTCAACCTCTAGCAAATTTTATCAAATGTAGAAGGTCTATCTGCACTGACAATACTTATAACCTTTAACTGTCAAATGATTCGTATTCATCTTCCCTAAATTGTTCTAGTGATCATTTTTCCAATTCAAGTCTGGTTTGTCTACTATAAAGTACTCCCCCTCCCCCCCTTTTTTTTTTTTTTTTTTTTTAACAATGGCCATCTACCAAGGTAAGGTAACCTCATTAGAATACCATTCACTCAATTGCCATCTTCCAAAAGTACACTGGAACACAATCAGATTTGACCCTCTGACTGCAACATCCCTATCTCCTGCAGAGTTGAGACTATCTTCCAACCTCCAGACTCCAGTCTGGCTAACTGGTTTCCTGGATCCCTTCATAAAAGTTACCTTGCTTATGCTCCAATAGCACATCCACAAAAAAAAAGTCTCATCGTGGACAATGTAAATCTCCCAGTGAGACATTAACCCAAGGTGCTTTAATAATGGCCTAAGGAAAACAAATGTGAAAGTTCCAAAAGAAAAAATTTCAACTATTCCACTCTGGAAAAATTCAGGGAAATAAAATTGAATCAGAGTATAAACAAATTCCAACCCATACAAATAGAGCGAAAAATAATATGAGGCCCTGGGAGTGTGAATGTCACAACAATGTCTTGACTACATCCCCTAGGAAAACGATAAGATGGATAATGAGAACCTTCAAAACTACGGATGCTAAGCCAATAATGATTCTCCTCAAATTGCTTGTTCTCTCTAGGCTGGAATATCACCACTAACAGCCCCTTTCAAGGCAGGCAAACTGTAGACCTGGAGAATACAGCGAACTTTCACTGCATCAGAGAAAAATCACTGGTACGATATATAGCACCTCGACTATTATGTGGGCTACATGGTTGAAGTCCCTTGATCTGTACTCTTGGAATGCAGGTGAGAAAGATACATAAATACACACTTGCAAAAACTTATAAGTGGAAACTAGTCCAAATCTTGCACACGGAGAGCAAAAGCCTTCAGCAGGCGGTGTAAAACCTCCCCCAGCCTTGAGTAGTGATAAGAGAAACACTTAAAGTGTCAGGGGGCTCAGGGACTACTTTCAACTGCCTTCCAGCTGTCTTTCAAGAGGGAGTCGGACAGGACACCTAAAGTCAGTTCCCAACCAAACCTGGCTGTGGTTCATATGTCAGTTTGCATGCAGCCAACTTGAACTGCTGGTTGATTTCAGGCCATGATCCACTGTGAGGCTGGTCATGGACGGGCTCCAGGGGTTGGCTAATCCCCAGAACTCCCTCAAGGTATATTCCCCATATATGCATACAGTAATGTCACCCATGTAAAAGCCATTCTAGTTACTGCACTGGCTCAAGTGGCCTACCTCTTTCTGCTTCTAATTTTGAAAACCGTTTAATATAAACTTCCTCCAATTATGTCCCTGGACAACATGGCTTACCCATTTTCTGCTGCCATGGTCCTCACCAGCTTCAAGGAGCCTTGTGAGGGGATAGGGGGGGGTATCTAAAGGCAGAAATGAGAAATGGGGGTGGCGAGGGAAAGAACATCCAATCATTAGGATGGGGGCATGGTTTGACAACAAAATCAGTGCCTGCATTAAAAGTGAGACCCAGGATGGTTCAAAGCCTGCAAGCACCTCAGGTGTTGAAATAGGCATCAATATGAAAACTGGTTTGCTTGATGAATGAAACAAGCTGAAAAGAGGAGATCGTCATCTGATAATTCATGCATTGCTGTTATGCAAGCTTTGACGTATATTACTTGCAGTTTAACACCTAATATACATACATCCATTATTATTATTATCATAGGGAGTGCTAAACTTTTAGAGATTATACAACACTTGTGGGAAGGGGGGAAGGGTATGGAAGACATTCAGGCTTAATTCAGGGAATTGTAGTATATTGAAATACAAGTACCATCTGACTTACGACTTGCTCGACATACGACCACTCGTACTTACGACCATACGTCTGGCAGCATATACAGTAGTAAAATGTTTAGTAAAAAGTAACATATGATACTATATAGGTACTTTATATAGCAAAGGTTTGACATTATGCCCTACATAGTATGTAGGCAATTTTCTAAGGTTCGACTTGTGTCTATCTGGACTTATGACCAGTTGGTCGGAACCAAGCTTGTTCCTAAGTCGGACTGTACTTGTACAGACATACCAGTACAGGGGAACCTCAAATATCGAACTTTCTTCATTCCAGGTGGCTGTTCGAGTGCCGTTACCGAACAAATTTATTCCCATCAGGAATAATGTAAATTAGATTAGTTCATTTTCAGACCCTCAAAAATACACTTATAACAGCATTTATCTATGGAGGCAAAGAAGGGAATGTATGAAAGTATAGTAGTACCAACACTCTTATATGGGTGTGAAGCTTGGGTGGTAAATGCAGCAGCGAGGAGACGGTTGGAGGCAGTGGAGATGTCCTGTTTAAGGGCAATGTGTGGGGTAAATATTATGCAGAAAATTCGGAGTGTGGAAATTAGGAGAAGGTGTGGAGTTAATAAAAGTATTAGTCAGAGGGCAGAAGAGGGGTTGTTGAGGTGTTTGGTCATTTAGAGAGAATGGATCAAAGTAGAATGACATGGAAAGCATATAAATCTATAGGGGAAGGAAGGCGGGATAGGGTCGTCCTCGAAAGGGTTGGAGAGAGGGGGTAAAGGAGGTTTTGTGGGTAAGGGGCTTGGACTTCCAGCAAGCGTGCGTGAGCGTGTTAGATAGGAGTGAATGGAGACGAATAGTACTTGTGACCTGACGATCTGTTGAGTGTGAGCAGGGTAATATTTAGTGAAGGGATTCAGGGAAACGGTTATTTTCATATAGTCGGACTTGAGTCCTGGAAATGGGAAGTACAATGCCTGCACTTTAAAGGAGGGGTTTGGGATATTGGCAGTTTGGAGGAATATGTTGTGTATCTTTATATGTGTATGCTTCTAGACTGTTGTATTCTGAGCACCTCTGCAAAAACAGTGATAATGTGCGAGTGTGGTGAAAGTGTTGAATGATGATGAAAGTATTTTCTTTTTGGGGATTTTCTTTCTTTTTTGGGTCACCCTGCCTCGGTGGGAGACGGCCGACTTGTTGGAAAAAAAAAAAAAAAAAAAAAAAAAACAGCATTTACAAAAATACACTTACTTAACTGGTTGAGTTGGGAGCAGTTTGATATTTGAGGTTCCACTGTACTTCCCTACAACCATCAGGGATAAGAGGACAGCTACAAGCCCAAATGTGGATTGATGCAAAACAGTGTTGGTCACTAAACAGGAACAACATTGCTGTCAGCATTCCCACAATTATTATTATTACAATCAAGGGTCATACAGCATGCATTCCCACAAGAAATTATGATAGTACTTACTGTACGTAGGTGCTGTATGGTCCTTATAGGTTTTAGCACTTCCTCATAAATATAATAATTTCACAACAAGGATCTGTGATCCTTCCAAAGTGCAACTGTTGAATGCAGTATATTCACACTTTTTGTGAATATACTGGGTAATAAGCTTCAGCTTTACACACAGCAGTATGGTATGACTTTCAATGTGAATAAATTTACTTTAGTAAGGCACTAGAAAAACATTTACCAAACTTTTTTTGATTTAGTGATCAATGTTTTAATTGCAGTGATTCATATAATGTATGACCAATTAATAAAAACTTAATCTAACATACGATGTATTTGGTGATGATCTGTATACTTGTCGAGGTTGTCCAAGTTCTTCCACCACAGTGGTAGAAACTTTTGTGCAATAAGGTGGAACCATGGAGTAAGGGGAATCCTACTTTCCCGAAGTCCACATAAAAAGTTATCAAAGTTCTCTCGCTTCACATATCTCACATCTTGCACCTCGTTCTCATTTGGATGAAGTGATACATCTCCTTTTAGAAATAAAATGTAGTCCATCTCATGTTCTCCCCACATTCCATCTGATGGACTTGCATAATGAATCCTAGTAAGGTATGTAAAGGCTTCTGGCTTGGCCTGATCTGGTGGGATTCCTAGCTCAAATTCTAGGCGTCTCTGAGCAGCATTTCTGATGCCCCAGGCATTTTCTTCAATAGTTTCTCGAGGGATGTGGAGTGGGTGGGAACAGCAGGTATTTGTATAATGACCTGGAAATGTGATCTGCAAAGAAGTGTACTTTGTTACATTAAAATACATATTAGTAAAGGGAATTTCTTTCACACAGTATACAAAATACATTACAGACTTGCAAATTCTAAAATAAACACTATTTAGTCAGGTTAAAAAAGGGTTTAAATTGTGTAGTTATATACACTGTCAAAAAGTGTTACTCAAACATGGCTACACTCTTAACCCATTATTTCATTGTTAATGATGAAAGGGATTATGATATTAAGACTAATTAAATACATATACAGCATAAGAATTTAATAAATTATATTTTGAAGGTTGCACAATGATGCATTCCTATAAATTATTTTTTAAAATAAATTTCACATATGAGTCAAGATGCTAAAAAAAAAAAAAAAAATTTTTGGTATCAAGCACAGTTTTAGGTCTCTCTTACTAGTAACACAAATTTTACCCGACTAATTTACTCAGTGTTATAAAAACATTAAATGAACTTCAAAAAACAGATACTGGGTCTGCTTGTTATTCTCTGGTGAATTCATATGTTAAGACCAATTTGTATATACATTAGTAACAGTAAAGAATGTACTGTACCCTACAATGAAAATACAATACAGTAAATACAAAATGTATTAACATTATAATTTATACAATACCTTGGCATCTGAACGACGATGCACCAGAAGTTCACCGGAAGAATTAAACAAAAAGACACTGAAAGCCCGATGAAGAAGGCTTGATCCATCCTGCATCAAATGACAGTCACGTTTTGAAGCTGAGCCTATATTTGTGTCATTTTCATCAACTAAGATGCATGGTTCATCAAGAAGTGCAAACTGCTGTGGATCAATATCTTCTGCATAATTAATTTGCTGAAAAAAAGAACAAAAACAGTAAATTATTAAAGAAAACAAAAGTTGCTAATCAAGCAATGGAAATGTGATTTTTTTTTTTTGCTTTAACTTTTAACATAAGCTACCATACTGTTCAATTAAGACACTTGAAATATGACTGCCTCCAAAAACATTTAATTTATAAAGCAAACTTAAAAAGTTAATTAACTCAGCAAGAACATGTACCCTGTACTTTATATTTGATTACATAACATGGTCATGAAGTACATTAAAAATCACTTCTGCATAAGGGTCTGATGACTCCTATGAAGGCAAACAGGACACATATCTATATACCACACTAAATAAAATCACAAATCATTATTTTCTTAATAGTGTATAACTTGCACTTATTATTCAACAATAAAGAGAGAGATGAATGGCATCCCCTTATACAAGGAAAACAAATTGGACAGTAATAAGAACCCTTTCAGGTTTAGGGTCTTATCTGATTATATTATAGTTATTGTAGAGTAAGAATTTATCACTAACTTTGCTTAGTCCACATGACGTTTGCAGGAAACGGCTCCTCACATGTCGAAGAGACTGTCCAATCTTCTGACTTAATGCCATAGTGAAACCTGAAATGTCAGGTGACTATAAGTGAGACAAGATTTTGTTGTTGTATTTGAAGTGCCATAGGCCCCAAGCCAAGCTTGAAGTAAGCTGTTTGACAGGTGGAAGTGGTAGACAAGTTGACCTGTTTAAAAGCTGCTAAAGAACGTGGTGACAAGCATGGGATGGAGCAAGGGTCATACAGTGCCTGGAAAATGGGGGGCAATCTGGTTTAATCCAACAAAGGGGAGAGTAACTATAATTCCTCAGTGAGGTGAGAATGCTATCAACCAAGCCACAGGACATCATTAACTGAGCCACAGTATGAATCGTAAGTGTAAATGATGTTAGGTAAAATTGAAACAACAGTAATACTTATTATTGCTAGGTTTTGCTCTCCATGAGCTTTATCAGGCCAAAAATGGCTTGATTAAAAGATCAAAACAGCTGTAAAAAGAATCCCATTAGTTTCTTTTCTCATTAACTTACAGTAAACCCTCTAAACAACCTACTAACAGGGTAAACGAGTGACTGGAAATAGCAACTGTGGCCAACAGAAATAATTTTGTTGTGATTGTAATATAAATGGACAAATCTGTAACTAATGCAATTGTCCATTGTTTCTAAATTGATTGACCCAGTGGATTTTGTCCTGTATTTCTGAAGTCCATTATAAAGGAGAGTATACTGTAATATCTTGTCAGAAATTTTACCAATATCTAATTATGTCAACAAGTTATCCAGGAGGAAAGGTACATGGTAACTTTAAAAATTTATAACTATGTATCCACCAATATAATTTATAAGGCTCTAAAAATATTGTTTATGGTAGAGACATGGTCCCAGTCATGTATGTACCCTTGGTGTGGGGCTTTTTTTGTGGTTGGTTGTGGTTGTGTCCATCTGTACCACCTATGTGAGAGAAAGTTATGTCAGGGTATGTTTCAGTATTTGCCAATGTCTGTTAGCTATAACACACCGGACACCCGGGGTGTTAACGGGTTGGGGTTTCTTGAGGGTATTAAATGTGTTTGTATGTTCTGAGGTTATTGTTATTTATTTATATTTATACATTACGTCGTAATGAATGTTTTAAGTAAAAAAAAATTTATATTTATAAATAAATAAATCTCTATTATCCATGAAATACATTATGAATTATAGTGTTCAGCAATGTTAACTTTTATGTGTAAGCCTCTATTTATTCAATGCATTTGGGGCAAAGCAATACATTTCGAGTCTAGGTTATGTTAAGTTAGTTATTGTACACAGCTTTACTTCATTTTATAAGGTAGAACTATTCATGAGTACAATATTGGGAAAATCTCTAGACTGATCAGTGACTGAAAATGTCAGTGAGATCACTGGCATTCTACTAAAAATAAAGATAATAATAAACATCATAATGCTTTATTTCTGTGAGCATTTTTGTGTCAGGTATACGCTTGATTAGCTCTCTGTTATATACATAATTATTTCACAAGCAAGCACTTAAAGATGAAATGGGTCATATATCCTATGTAAATACAAAAATGATGGTGGCAATACAATGCAATTTCAGTCCTGTTTCACTTTATAAAAAATTTAGATAACGCATTAAGTGACCTTGGTTAAACCGTTTTTCAGTGAAGTATCACAAAAGAAAATGTAACCTGTGTAAGAGTATGTATGTAAATATTTTTTTTTTGTCTCAAATTAAAATTAGACTTATTATGTTTAGTAATCTTTGGAAACACCCTGTTAAGAAAAATTTATTTAAAAAACTCAGGAGGAAAAAATTTATCTGCAACAGCCATCTGGACAGGACACACCAGATTTATTTTTATTTTTTTTTCACAGCTTCTGAATTTGTTCTTGGTTTGCAAGCTATTTTCAGTTTTTATTAATTTTTTCCCAGTACGATAAAATTTTTGTATTTATTTGGATTATCACACGGCGTATCCCACAAGGCGGGTGGCCGAAAAAGCTAAAAACTGGCCCATCATTCATCCTTCACTGTCTTGCCAGAAGGGTGCTTACATTCTGTTTTGAAACTGGGCAACATTAACAACCCTCCGTCGTGTGCAGGGGCCCAACTGTTACTTCCAATCTCCAGGACTCAAGTTCGGCCTGGACCGGTTTCCCCTGTATCCCTTCATAATGTTACTGTGCTCACACTCCAACAGCACGTTCAAGATATTAAATCCATTTTGTCTCCATTACTCCTATCAAAACACGCTCACGCATGCCTGCTGGAAGTCCAGCCCTCGCCACACAATAACCTCCTTTACCCCTCCCTCCAACCCTTCCTAGCCGACCCCTAACCGCCATCCTTCCACTACAGACTGATACACTCTTGAAGTCATTCGGTTTCGTTCATTCTCTCTACCTGTCGAACCACCTCAACAACCCTTCTCAGACCTATGGACACAGTTTTGGTAATCCCGACTCCTCCTAACTTCCAAACTCGAATTCTCGGCATTATATTCACACCACACATTTTTGCCCTCAGACATGACATCTTCCACGGCTTCCAGCCTTCTCTCGCTGCAACATTCATCACCCACGCTTCACACCCAATTATGAGCGTTGGTAAAAACTATACTCTCATTCATTCCCCTCTTTGCCTCCAGACAAATGTCTTTGTCTCCACAGACTTCCTAAGTGCACCTACTCACTCTTTTTCCCTCATCAATTCTATGATTCACCTCATCTTTCATAGGACATCCGCTGACACGTTCCTCTCCCAAATATCTGAATCGTTCACCACGCCATACTCTCTCCTCCAATCTGATATTCAATCTTTCATCACCTAATCTTTTTGTTATCCTCATAACCATTACGCTTGCCTGTATTCACCTTTTAATTTTTTCTTTTGACACACCCTACCAAATTCATCCACCATCTCTGCAATTCTCTTCAGAATCTCCAAGGAGCACAGTGTCATCAGCAAGAGCAGCTGTGACACTCCCACTTTGTGTGTGATCTCTATCTTTTAACTCTCCACGCCTCTTGCAAGACCTCGCATTTACTTCTCTTACAACCCCATCTTTTCAAATTCAATTCAACAACCACGGTGACATCACACATCCTTGTCTAAGGCCACTTTTACTGGGAAAAAATTTCCCTCTTTCTACATTACTCTAATTGAGCCTCACTATCCTCGTTAAAAACTCTGCACTGCTTTCAGTAACCTCCCTCTACACCATTCATTGCAACATCTGCCAACATTGGCCCCTATCCACCTGTCATACGCCTTTTCCAAATCCATAATTGCCAAAAGACCTCTTTAGACCTTATTCTAAATACGGTTTCACTTATATGTTTCACTGTAAACACCTGTCCACACACCCCCTACCTTTCTAAAGCCTTTCCTTGTTCATCTGCTATCCTATTCTCCGGCTTACTTTAATTTATTCAATTTATAGACTCTTACATACACTTTACCAGGTACCTCACTCAACAGACTTTATCCCCCTATAATTTTTGCACTCTCTTTTATTCCCCTTTGCCTTTATACAAAGGAAATATGCATGCTCTACTGCAATCCCTAGGTAACCTGACCTCTTCCATACATTTATTAAATAATATTTGCACCATCCACTCCAAAACTATATCCCCACCTGCTCTTTTAACATTTCTATCTTTATCCACATCAATCCCGGCTGCCATACCCCTTTCATTTACCTACTTGCCTCACGAACTTCCCCCACACTCAAACTGGCTCTTCCTCACTCTTCAAGATGTTATTCTCCTTGCACTATACACGAATCACAGCTTCCCTAGCTCATCAACATTTTAACAATCCTCATATATTCTCCTTCCATCTTCCCAATACCTTAACTCTCCATTTTAATAACTCTCCTCTCCTATTTTTAACTGACAATCCATTTGTTCTCTAGGCTTTCTTAACTTGTTAATCTCACTCCCAAAACTTTTTTTTATTTTCTACAAAAATTTGTTGATAAACATCTCCCCACTCTTATTTGCTCTCCTTTTTAAATTGCTTCACCACGTCTTAAATTCTCTCTTTTTCTCCATATACTTTCCCTCCTTGCATCACTTCTACTTTTTCTGTAAAAACTTCTCATATGCTAACTTTTCTCCCTTACTACTCTCTTTACTTCATAATTCCACCAATCGCTCCTCTTCCTCCTGCACCCACTTTCCTGTAACCACAAACTTTGCTGAACACTCTAAACACTACATTTGTAAACTACCCCATTCCTCTGCGACCCCATTGCCTATGCTCTCATTAGCCATCTTCCTCCAATAGCTGTTTATATCCTTACCCTAACTGCTCTCTTTTAGTTTATAAACCTTCACCTCTTTCTTCCCTGTGCTCTATTTCCGTGTATCCCATCTACCTTTTACTTCAGTGTAGCTACAACTAGAAAGTGATCGATATATTGTGGCCCCTCTATAAACATGTACATCTGAAGTCTACTTTTCACAGTCTTTTATCTTACCATTACATAATCCAACAAACTACTGTCATTTCGCCCTACTCATATCGTGTATTACTATATTTATCCTTTTCTTACATACTGTATTTACCTATAAACTAAACCCCTTTCTATAACAAAGTTCAATCAAAGGGCTCCCATTATCATTTACACCTGGCACCACAAACTTACCTACACACCTCTCTTAAAGTTTCTCCTACTTTAGCATTCAAGTTCCCTACCACAATTACTCTCTCACTTGGTTCAAAGGCTCCTATACATTCACTTAACATCTCCCAAAATCTCTCTCTCTCCTCTGCATTCCTCTCTTCTCCAGGTGCATACACGCTTATTATGACCCACTTCTCACATCCAACCTTTACTTTAATCCACATAATTCTTGAATTTACACATTCATATTCTCTTTTCTCCTTCCATAACTGATCATTTAACATTAAAATAATAATATAATCAAATTAATGACGAGCTAAACCCGAGAGGGTCATGCAGCACCGTAATCCATTAATACAAAACAAGATAAGCTAGCAAAAAATCTACAAATATATTTTAGATAACAGTAAAAATTTCTGCGACGGTCATGTGAGTACACGGATAATTTAGAAATACAAGAACGGAACACTGTGGAGAGCTTACAAAATATTCTGCATATATACACAACAGAAAGAAAACTTTGTGAATTTAACGGTAATATACTGTTATGTTAAAAGGTTGTTTTAAAGTTGCTCAGTTATATCATATGCGCCGCTACGTTGCTTTAGGTAAATTATCACAAGTTTTGCTACATAATATCTATTATAAGCTATTCTACACTATCATATGTGATGCTATGTTACCAAGTATATAACCTCTGCTACTTTACCACAAGCTCTACTATGTTACCACAAGCTCTACTATGTTACCACAAGCTCTATGTTACCACAAGCTCTGTTGCCACAAGCTCTACTATGTTACCACAAGCTCTGTTGCCACAAGCTCTACTATGTTACCACAAGCTCTATGTTGCCACAAGCTCTACTATGTTACCACAAGCTCTGCTGCCACAAGCTCTACTATGTTACCACAAGCTCTATGTTGCCACAAGCTCTACTATGTTACTACAAGCTCTATGTTGCCACAAGCTGTACTATGTCACCACAAGCTCTATGTTGACACAAGCTCTACTATGTTACCACAAGCTCTGTTGCCACAAGCTCTACTATGTTACCACAAGCTCTATGTTGCCACAAGCTCTACTATGTTACCACAAGCTCTACTATGTTATCACAAGCTCTATGTTGCCACAAGCTCTACTATGTTACCACAAGCTCTATGTTGCCACAAGCTCTACTATGTTACCACAAGCTCTACTATGTTACCACAAGCTCTACTATGTTACCACAAGCTGTACTATGTTATCAAAAGCTCCACCACATCACAAGCTCCAACACAAGCTCCAACATAAGCTCCACCACATTACAAGCTCCACCACATCACAAGCTCCACCAGACCACAAGCTCCACCAGACCACAAGCTCCACCACATCACAAGCTCCACCACAACACCAGCTCCACCACAACACAAGCTCCACCACATCACAAGCTCCACCACAATACAAGCTCCATCACAAGCTCCACCACATCACAAAACTCCACCACAACACAAGCTCCACCACAAACTCCACCACACCACAAGCTCCACCACAACACAAGCTCCACCACAAACTCCACCACATCACAAGCTCCATCACAAGCTCCACCACAACACAAGCTCCACCACAACACAAGCTCCACCACAAACTCCACCACACCACAAGCTCCACCACACCACAAGCTCCACCACAACACAAGCTCCACCACAACACAAGCTCCACCACAACACAAGCTCCACCACAACACAAGCTCCACCACATCACAAGCTCCACCACAAGCTCCACCACATCACAAGCTCCACCACACCACAAGCTCCACCACATCACAAGCTCCACCACATCACAAGCTCCACCACAACACAAGCTCCACCACATCACAAGCTCCACCACACCACAAGCTCCACCACATCACAAGCTCCACCACATCACAAGCTCCACCACAACACAAGCTCCACCACATCACAAGCTCCACCACAACACAAGCTCCACCACAACACAAGCTCCACCACAACACAAGCCCACCACAACACAAGCTCCACCACAACACAAGCTCCACCACACCACAAGCTCCACCACACCACAAGCTCCACCACAACACAAGCTCCACCACAACACAAGCTCCACCACAAACACAAGCTCCACCACAACCACAAGCTCCACCACAACACAAGCTCCACCACAACACAAGCTCCACCACACCACAAGCTCCACCACACCACAAGCTCCACCACAACACAAGCTCCACCACAACACAAGCTCCACCACAACACAAGCTCCACCACACCACAAGCTCCACCACAACACAAGCTCCACCACACCACAAGCTCCACCACAACACAAGCTCCACCAACAACACAAGCTCCACCACAACACAAGCTCCACCACACCACAAGCTCCA